GGCTTTTTTCTTTTTGCTTATGTGGTGCTGAGGAATCGAACCCAGGGCCTCAGGCATGCAAGGCAAGCGCTCTACCACTGAGCCACCTTCCCAGCCCCCCTAGGTTCTCTTTATACTTTCTATAGTGTAAATTATGGACAACAACTCATTCAACGATGTTTATTGAACATTTACTACGTCATACATATTATTATCATTTCAGACATAACAGCACCTTCTGAGGTAGATATTATCATCTTCCTTTCACAGGTGAGGGAACTGAGGCCCATGGAAGCCTTGTGACTTACCAGGAGTCCATTAGTGGATGAGACTCAGGGTTCTCCCTTGCATGTGTACTTTCCGCAACAAGCTGTCCAGCTTCCTGCTGGTGACAAGTAGTCAGGGCAGGACTTTGCCCTGACTGAGCCCCTCCCCATAGCTGGTTTCCCTCTTTGCTTACTTCTGAAATAGATAAGGACTGAGTGGATGTTCTTTCCAAAGAGGATGCTCTTCAACCCCGATAATGTAAAGGTGTCAGCTACTTATGTTGTTGGAGCGATACTAAGGAAAAGTTCAGGATTTCTCCCTTCCTTCCTTCCCTTCTTCCTTTCTGCTTGCCTGCCTGCTGCCTGCCTCCCTCTCTCCCTCCCTCCCTCCTTTCCTTCCTTCCTTTTTGCTCCTTTCTTCCTTTCTTTGGTGGTGCTAAAGATGGAACCAAGAATAGGTTACACTTTATCACTGAGTTACAACCCCAGCCCTTGGTGTTTTTGTTTTTGTTTGGGGGGGGGGGCGGGACAGAGTCTTCACTATGTAAGCTAGCTAGCCTGGCCTGGAACTGGTGATCCTCTGCCTCAGTGCTGGGATAGGATCCTAAGTGTGCACCATTGTACTGGGTTGGTTTGGTGTGGGGGGGTGGGGTGGGGATGTGTGTGTGTAGAGCAAAAGACTAGGGGAGGGGAGGGGATGTCAAGTTTAATCTATTGGAATCTTTACAGGCACTTTTCTTTTTACAATATGGAAACTTGAGGGATCCCTGAGGGATCCCCCAAAGAATGAACTTGAGTTCCCAAGTCCCTGTCTCTGGGAGCCACCCCTCTGGGCTCAGTGAGTCTTAGGTGCCAAAGCCAGGCTTTGGCTCCAACCTGCCTCAGGCTCAGCTGCACTCCTCGAAGATGTCCGGATAGTGTCGGAAGAGCACAGGTGGATCCCGGTCTCCACGCACGGGGGCCCGAGGCACAGCCCGGATTCCAGGCCTACGACCCCGCCGGCCCCCGGAGCAGGAGCGGTGGATCCACTGGTGTGCCTCCACGGCGAACTTTCTCTTGAAGCGCATGCCGCACTCGGGGCAGGGGAAAGGCCGCTCGCCAGAGTGCATGCGCCGGTGGCTGACCAGCAACGAAGGGTAGGTGAAGCGGCGGCCACAGTCAGTACACACATGGCGCCGCTGGCAGGCCTGGGCATCCACCCCGGGCACTGCCACAGGGGGTTGCGCAGTGGAGACCTGGTCCCGGACTTCTTTCCTACGCTGTGCTCTGGCTGAGGTCTTGCTGACAGCAGAGTCACGTTTGTGTTTAACCAGCGGTTTGGGCTTCTCCTTCCCAGGTCCCACGGCTTCTGGCCTTCCCTTGGGTTCCCCTTCCTTCTGGTTTGGAGCATCGCCTGGGAAACGAGAAGAAATTATCCTTTAAAACATTAGGGGTGGGGAAGGGAGAGAGGCCAGTGTCTCATGCCTGTAATCCTAGCTACTCAGGAGGCTGAGATTTGAGGATCGCAGCCAAGGGCAGACAAGTTCGTGAGACTCTTCAATAAAAACTACTCAGGGAAAAAAAAGCACCCTGGCCCAGAGTCCAAGCTTCTGGCAAAACAAACAAACAAACAAAAAACCCATTGTGCATCAGAAAATAGGATGCTTTTATTTCTGGTGCAGGGGTGGGAAAAATACCCCCCAGTGATTAACATGCAGCTTTTGGCAAAAGGTCAACAGTTCTTTCCTTTAGGTTTAAATGGGGAAAACTAAATTTAAGTTCCCAGAGGCTTAGGGAGAATCAGTAGATGCATGTTTGTTAAGCTTATCAACAGTGACTAGTATGCCTTCTTCCTTTTCCTTCCTTCCTTTCTTGCTTTCTTTCATTGTTGTTGTTTTGTGTGCAGGGTAAGATTCACTTTAGATTCACTCTGGAGAGGGTGAAGAGAGAAGAGTCAAACTGCCAACATTTGTGTGTGTGTGTGTGTGTGTATTTTGTACTAGGGCTTTAAGTCAAGGCCAGGCTGATGTTCTACCACTTTAGCCATAGCTTCACTTCTACCTTTTTGGTGGTTAATTAGAGATTAAGAGTCTCAGGAATCCAGGTGCCAGTGGCTCACTCCTGTAATCCTCACTACTCAGGAGGCTGAGATCTGAGGATCCCAGTTCAAAGCCAGTCAGGGCAGAAAAGTCCATGAGACTCTTATCTCTAATTAATCACAGAAAAAGCTGGAAGTGGCTCCAGTAGTAGAGCGCTAGCCTTGAGCAAAAAGGAGCTCAGGAGAAGGGGCTCAGAGTTGGAGCCCCAGGACCAACCAAAAACAAAGTATCAGGCAGTGAGTCTGGCTTTAAATTGGGATCCTTGGATCTCAGCCTCCTGAGAAGCTAAGATTACAGACATGAGCCACCGATGCCTAGCACTTAGGGGACATTTTTAGTTCTTGGAAGAGAGTGAGCGATGTTTTCTTTCAGAGACACCTGGAAAACTTCGAAGTTTTAGTTTTCAGCTCTTGATCTACTCTGGTCTCAACCTATGACGACTGTCCCAAGTTCGAAAACGTTGTTCTAGTTTGGTTTTCTTTCTGTCCTCTTCTAGTATCCAATGTCGTTGGGCTCTTTTATTTTCTTTAGGGGTGCTGGGAATTTGGGGACCCTGAGAGAAAACTGCTAAACAGGAAACTCCAGACAACCAAGTTGGGGGGGGGTCCCTTGGAACAACCCCTCACCTCGCAGAGCTCCTCCCAGGTTTTCCCCCTCCTCAGGATCCTGAGCGGCGGGGTTCCAAGCCTCACTCTCCCCTTCCATCCAAGAAATGAGAGCTGGTTTGGGGCCAGGGAGTCCTGGGAGAAAATAGGGATCACATTGCGGGCTTGCAAGGGTGTCGTGGGACGTTGGCATCCCCCTGCGGGGGCGAGGGCACCTCCTCCGAATGCATGCTCAACCTGAACAGGGTCTGCAACGCTCTTGCGTGAAGGAAGCAGATGCGGGATGGAAAGACTCCCGAGGGGTACCCGAAGCCCCTCGTGCTGTTGGGTGGAATGGTGCGGGATTAGGGCTCACGATCCACTCGTGCCCTGTGAACCCGGGTGAGGGAGGAGGGGGGCTCTGACCCGGGGCCTCACCGAGCGCGCCCAGGTGGCCGTAGGTCTCCCGCATCACGTCCCGGTACAGGGCCCTCTGTGCGGGGCGCAGACACCCCCACTCCTCGGGGGAGAAGTACACGGCCACATCCGCGAAGCTCACGGCCCCGGGCTTCCTGCAAGCCGGCGGCAGCTCCCCGGGTCCCAGAACCAGCAGCGGGGCCGGAGGCGGCGCCATCGGGGCTCCGGGCCCCCGGCAGAGGCCGCCTGGGCCCCGGGACCACCGCCCCCTGCTCCCGGCCTCAGCTGTCGCCGTCCTCGGGAAGGGCGGCCCGGGCCCAGGCTCCGCCCAGCCTCGGTAACGGAACGCTGCCGGCGAGGCGAACCCAAGTCCAGGACTGGCAGCTAGGGACGCGGGAGAGCTGATGGGGACAAATAAAATCCCTTGATATTTTCATGGCCGTTAGGAGTGAGACCCCCCGTTAAAGGGCCCGGAAGGCGCCTTCAGAAAAGATGGCGACCACCTGGCTTCAAGTGCCCCTGCGGTAGTTCAGGGGCTGGTGTCTGAGAATATCAAATATGGCTTCTTTTGTCTCAGCCTCCCGTCTGCCCTTAAATTCAATGGCCGCTACGGGAGATTTTTCTTCTTCTTCTTCTTCCCCTTTTTCTTTTCTTCCCGTGGAATTGGGAAGTCCAGGAAACCTTCTTGCCTTCAAGAAAGATGGACGTGCCCGCAGCTTCACAGCCTTCTTCTCCCCGCTTGTCTGTGTATACCGGCCGATGATTGGCTGGAACTACGGACGACACTGTGCGCTGATTGGTTCCTGGCCGTAGCGGGGGGCGGGGGCGCGGTTGAAAAAGATTCTCAGGGCTGAGTCCAGAGGAGGTCCTCCAGCTGGGTAGTTAGTTGGGAGCTGTCCACAACCGCCTTTCTGACGACGGGCGTTGGGATCTGGGATCGGGTCCCAGCTCAAGCTTGCAGACGCAGCAGGTACAGCTGCCGAGGGTAGAAGCCAGGGTACGGATTGGCAACTGCAAAAAGCGGTGGTACTGGGGCTTGAATTCAGAGTCTGGACACTTGCCCTTAGCTTTTTCACCCAAGGCTAGCGCTTTATCACTTGGGCACAGCGCAATTATTTATCTATTCATTCATTTGGCGGTTAATTGGAGGTAAAAAGGCTCAGAGAGTTTCCTTCCTTAGCTGATTTCGAACCTTAATCCTCAGATCTCAGTCTCCTGAATAGTTAGGATGACCTAGGCATGAGCCGCCACTCCTAAGACTCCTTAAACTCTTGAATGTTTGAAGATTTGTATAAGGAGGAACTGGCTGTTTTCAAACTACAAAAACAACTAAGTGACTTTATCATATTTTATCTTGAACAATACTATGAAGTTGCCATTGGCTCCATTCGCTATAAGGCAGTAGTGTTGAATTATAGGCTTACAGTCACAGAGGCTAAGTTTGTTTGGAATTCAAGTCTGCCAATCCAGGAGAGGCTATATAGTGAAATAAAAACCTTCAGTTTTTTTCTTTCCCAGTCCTGGGCTTGAACTCAGGTCCTGGGCACTGTCTTTGAACCATAGCACCACTTCTGGATTTTTCTGTGTATGTGGTACTGAGGAATTGAACCCAGAGTTTTATGCATGCTAGGCAAGCACTCTACCACTAAACCACATTTCCAGCCCTAGTAATCACTTTTTGAACTATGGAGTTCAGAGAGGTAGCCATTTGTTAAGACAGGTTTGAATCAACACCTGTGTGGATATATTCCTTCAAGTTTCCTCTTCAAAAGTAGGATGCCGGGGCTGGGAAGGTAGCTCAGTGGTAGAGTGCATGCCCTGCAAGCATGAGGCCCTGGGTTCGATTCCTCAGCACCATAAAAACAGAAAAAGCCGGAAGTGGCGCTGTGGCTCCAGTGGTAGAGCACCAGCCTTGAGCTGAAGAGCTGAGGGACAGCGTCCAGACCCAGAGTTCAGGCCCCATGACCGGCAAAAAAAAAAAAAAAATAGGATGCCAAGATCTAAATAGGTCAAGAAGGCCAGCCATTCAATTGTTAACACAGTAGATCATTACAATAAAAAAATAGACTGAAGGTTTTTCCCCTTATAATCCTACCTACTGAGAGGTGTTTTGGTTTGAAGCCAAGCTAGACAGAAAAGTCTGTGAGACGACATCTCCAGCAAAAAAATCAACAGACTGGGGGTGTGGTTCAAGTGGTAGAACACCAGCTGTGAGCAAGAAAGCTAAGTGAGCTTGAAGCCTGGAGTTCAAGTCCCAGTACTTGAAAAAAAAAAGACTGAAGAGACTATGCCTTGATTTTAACTGTCATCACAAATAATTTACTCACAATGTTCCCCAGCATTGTATTTCCAGTTGTTTTGGCCTGAGAACTCATCTTTAGCCAACAGATGCAAAATCCAGAGACCATAGGGGATAAAAAGACATGCCAACCATTCCCTCAAAAACATAGAGAAACCAAGCTGGGCACCAGTGGCCTCATGCCTGTCATCCTAGTACTCAGGAGGCTGAGATCTGAGGATTGTGCTTCAAAGCCAGCCCGAGCAGGAAAGTCCGTGAGACTCTTATCTCTAATAAACTACTAGAAAACCGGAAGTGGCACTGTGGCTCAAGCAGTAGAGCACTGGCCTTGAGATGAAGAGCTAAGGGACAGTGTCCAGGCCCAGAGTTCAAACCCCATGACTGACCAAAAAAAAAAATAGAGAAACCAGTCCTGAAGTGTATTAGATTTCATACTTTTGTGTATTCTGTACAGAATGCGCAGAGGGCAGAAGGGGTCCCCCCTCCCCCCCGCCAGGCCACTATCTCTATAGTCACCCCCAAGTCTCTTGGGGTGAGCTACTCCTGTGGGACAGACTCACAATGTGCCCTCTATCCCAGGATGGTGTGGTCTTTTTTCTTAGACTGGCATCTAAGTGACCTAGTTTCTGAGGCTAGAAAACAGTATTCAAAGGGAGAGAACAGTCCAGAAAGAAAGGCCAGCTAAATGAATGGTCTGCAGTGGATTACCTCCAAGTGGATCTTCAGGAGCCTTTGTGAGTGGGAGTCTCCAGAAACAGGGTTCAGCTTTCAATTTTTAAAAATACAAAGGGTTTTAGTTCTAATTTTTAGTACCCTTAGCAGTTTATGAATACAGTCTGATCGTACAGCTTTGCCACTCTCAAAGCAGTTGAACTAAGCCCTGAGTCCTCCATGCTTCCAGAACCTTCTTTTCCTGAGATGTTTCTTGCCTCATCTCATTTATAAACCTGTCTCTTCCTTTCCAGAGAAATCTGATCAACTTGGGTCAGCCCTTTTACCCACACTCCTGGAATATATCCCAAAAGTAAACAAGGGGATCTTGATCTTCCCAAAACAGATGTGCTCTGAAAACTGATGCAGCCTGTGGCCACCTCAGCCTCTCCTCACCAGAGCAAGGAACCCACTAATATGCCTTCAGCCTGCGTACTTGCAGCTTGTGCCACACTGGCTGCAGGAGGATGGGCCAGACACTGAGCAGCAGAGAGGAGAGTATGTGAAGTGGAGGCCTCAGTCCAGGCAAGGATAGGTCTTCTCACCTGTGATCGTGCCTGTGGCTGGCCAGCAAGTAGGGTTAGGTGAAGTGGCTCTTGCAATTGGGGAATGGGTAAGGGTTCTCCCTCGTGTGAGCCCACCATGGATGGCTAAGAAAGCCAGAAGTGGCACCCACCCTCTGAGCATGGGTAGGGCTTTTTCCCAGGAATGGGTGAACCAGAGCTAGAGCAGTTAATTGTGTGGGGAGAAATGAGCCTAGCTGATCACAGGAAAAAGGCCTTTCCCTGGTATAGACCCAGTGGTAGGTAGCTGACCAAAAGGGAAGGGTAGCTGAAGCTAGGGCCACAGTTGGAGTAAGAGTAGGGTGCTCTGGCACCTGGAATGTCCCTGAGCCCCATGGCTTGATGGGGCTCTACCAAGGGGTGGACACTTCTAACAGAACTAGAACCAGGTAGCATGCCAGCTGGCAGCCTCTCCTGGAGAGGTATTTCATCTCCAATCTCTTTTTGTTTTGAATTCTTCTTCAATCCTTCTTTCTCATTCTTATTTCAGGATCCTGAGATGGGGAGAAAAAGAACCTGAAATGGCAGCGTATTCCAGGATATACCCTAGAAGAGAGATAAACAGAATACATGGCCCTCTGGGAGCTTGGTTGAGTGGCGCCACAGGAAGCCCTGAAAGCTACCCTGGAGTGCAAGCAAATTCCATTGTCTGCACGAACATTGGAGAGAGTGGGAGAAGAGTCAACAATACTGAATCCCAGCTCTGTTTCAGGCACTAAGGACAGCAGTGGCCCCAGTCATGGAGCTTTCAGGCTGGAACCTGATTGAAGATTATAAAATCTTAATCAAATAGACTTAAATGACCCTCCCTGCTGCCATTTAGGCCATCACCAAAAAGTCATTTGGTGATGGACTGGAGGGAAGACTTGGGAACATTTGTTACATGATGGCTTCAGGGAAAATATTCTGCCTTTGTTTTAACATCTGATGAGCCAAGTGCTGGTGGCACATGCCTGTAATCATAGCTACTCAGGAGGCTGAGATCTGAGAATCAGGCTTCAAAGCCAGCCTGGGCAGGAACTTCCATAAGACTCTTATCTCCAATAAACCACTAGAAAACCAGAAGTGGCACTGTGGCTCAAGCAGTAGAGCACTGGCCTTGAGCTGAAGAGCGCAGGGAGAGTGCCCAAGCCCAGAGTTCAAGCCCCATGACTGACCCCTCCCCCCAAAAAAAATCCAGAAGTGCTGTGGCTCAAGTGGTAGAGCACTAGCCCTGAGGAAAAACAAAAATCTATGAAGCATTCTCACCCACATTGTGATCTACGTGATATCCAAGAATAACATAACTTCATTTTATCACACTCCAATTCCTTGACTTCTCAGGACACTCGAAGTCTATTTTGCATTAAACTGAAGTTATCCAGTATGAGCGATTGGTTCACCATAGCTGTTCTCTCCAGCTGTCTTGAAGTCAGAACTTGGTTAAGGTGCAGGAAAACTAAGGGGACTTCGGTGGGGGCAGTGTGCACTGAGAATGGGAATTGGGTTTGAAATAAAGTCCGTTACCTTTCCCTGCCCCAGTTGACAGCTAGTGGGCTCTCTCCCTCTGGATCCTAGGTTTCTGAGATCCAAATCTCCCACCTCGTCTTCCATCTGTGAGATAAAAGCAGGTTTGAGGCCTGAAAATCCTGCAAAGGAGAAAATTGAGCTTAGATCGGAACACACATGGGGCATGGAGGGGATGAGTCGGTTTCCTCGGTGGCCTCTAGGAACACATTACTGGAGGATCTAGCCCTCAGCCAGCGCTCAGGATCTTGTCCTGGTATCCGGAAGGCCCTCTGCGGCCCCGCCTCCTTGAATCCCGCCCTTAACCAACATGGTGCCTCTCTGGCGTCAACATCCCTTGCTTTGCCCTCTGCCCTTACGTGTGGAAGGGGAGACACTGACTGGAGGTTGGCTCCCACAGTTCAACCGACTGATAGATGACGTGCGTTGATTGGACAGTGCCGCGGGAAGAAGGAGCGCTGTGAATGGTCTTTCCGGAGCGGCCTGTTTAAAAGGCTGAGGATGAAGAAGCCACGAGCCGGGGGAGTGGCGGGAGCAGCAGAGACACCCGGTCTTTGCAAACTGGGAGAAAGATGAATTGACGCTGCACCCTTCTTCGATGAGATTTCTTACAGACAGGTCCAGGTAGCCAGGACTCCCTGGTGAGTAAACTGAGACCGATTTGGAATAAGGTATTGTTACCTGATTTACAGCAGTCCTTGGGATGGGTATAACACACACACGTTACTCACATCTCATTAAATTTATTTGTGTAATGGAAGTGTATCTGTTTTTATTCAGACTTTGTATTCTGCTCTGAAATAAGTGGGAAGGAGTGACTGATCAAGAAGCACTAGATGGGGGGCTGGGAAAGTGGCTTAGTGGTAGAGTGCTTGCCTCATATGCATGAGGCCCTGAGTTCGATTCCTCAGCACCACATAAGCAGAAAAAGCTGGAAGTGGTGCTGTGGCTCAAGTGGTGGAGTGCTAACATTGAGCTGAAGAGCTGAGGGACAGCGCCCAGACCCATAGGCCCAGAGTTCAGGCCACATGGGGGGAGAGGGGGAAGCACTAGATGCATAAATAGATGTTAAATGATAACCCCCAAGCCAGGCACAGGTGGCTCACGCCTGTAATCCTAGCTGCTTGGGAAGCTGACATCTGAAAATCGCAGTTCGAAGCCAGCCTAGGCAGGAAAGTTTGAGACTCTTACCTCCAGATAACCAGCAAAAAGCCAGAAGTGAAGGTCTGGTTCAAGTGGTAGAACACTAATCTTGAATGAAAAAATCTAAAGAGAGAAGCCCTAGTGTCAGCGGGCATGCACCTACACACCCACCCACCCACACACACACACACACACACAATGTACAACTATTTGAAGTTTAGAACAGAAAAATAGAAATTGCCAATTGTACAGGCTAGGAATGTGATAAAACACTTAACCTAGCATTCATTCTGGCATTTATCTGTGCAAGACCCCAAATTCCATTCCCCAGCAACACACATAACAATTGGAATAATGCAAATTCTTAGTTTGATATAACAATGTTAATTGCTTTGATGTAATCTACAAAAACTATAGTACAAAGCCGGGCCCTGTAGCTCATGCCTGTAATTCTACTACTTAAGAGGCTGAGATCTGAGGATTGTGGTTCAATGGCTTTTCCCTGGCAGGAAAAATCTATGAGACTTTTACCTCCAATAAACCACTCAGAAAACCCAAAGTGTGCTGTGGCTCAAGTGGTAGAGTGCTAGCCTTGAGCTGAAGAGTACAGGGGCAGTGCCCAGGCCCAGAGTTCAAGCCCCCATGACCAACAAAAATTGCTGAAAGGATGTTGAGCTCTCACTGAATACTGGGCATGGATCATGTCTGGAATGGGCCCTGACTGGGTGCCACAAAGAGACTAGGAAATTGATCTCATCTTTGTACTCCACAGACCACAGGATAGAAATTGGCTACCAGCGGCTTCCAAGTTTTATGAAGTACAGTCCATGCTCAGAGGAAGTTATAAAATTCCTACAGGAGGAATCATGTGTGCTAGCCTGTTTATGTGAAACTGGTAAGTTCCAACACAGAAGGCTAATGAAAAAGGTATTGGTTTACATCCCAACAGGTCTTTGCTCAGGCAGGGTGTTTCCCTGATCCGAGGGGCTGTATCTTAACATCAAACTTTTTCTCAGTCCAGAAAAACTAGATATACATTTTATAAATAGTAATTCCACAAGAAACCGAATTCATTCATCAGACTTTTAATGACACCCAATGTGGATTACCCCTTCCGGGAAAGCAGTTATCATCCAAGGAGAAACAAACAGTTCCAATGACAACCTGCTGAACACCTGAACAGAGGCAATTACAAAATGCTATGTTCTCTAGTCAGTCTCCCTCTCTGAGGATGAGATCAGGAGAGCTGCAGGAAGAAGCAAAGAAGAGTAGAATAATGACCCATTCCAGCTGTTGGAATATGAGTCATGTTTGGAAATTCCAATTTGATGCAGCTGCCCAAGATAAAGGGGTCGGCTATGTTCACACTGAATCATAAAGCTTTATTTAGGAGGCATATTACAAAGAGTAAGAGACTGCTTCCTGGCCCCACTGGAGGTCAAGGAGGGAGGGAGAGAGGGAGGCGTGGACAGTTTTATGAAACTCTCCTTTGTATTCAATTACCTGACTCTCTACCTTCCTTAATGATCTCACTTTATGGGGGAAAAAATGCTGACTGAGGCCTCATGGAAGAGAAGAGTAAGATCCATTTGTCAAGAATCTTCCAATTAGCTACCTAGATTTATTCCAAGTCCACCAGATGAAGTATAGTAATCCAGTCCCATTTTTACCTCTTGCAGCTAGACCATAGGTCCCCCATAACACCACACTTCTCCCAGAGTTTACTGTGCTTATGTTTCATGCCCAATTTGAGCCAGTTTTCCAGAAACAAGGTGGAGAAGATTTAGCTTTATCACATTTAAAAGGTCAGGGCAGTTAGATGTCTGTCAGCCACGAGACCTCTGATTTGCAGTTCCCCCTAAACCAGTACAGCCTGGAGTTGCTAAAAATCAGTGCAGACCAAGAAGGTGTACAGTGCACAAGGTATGCTGTCTTTTTTACTTTTATATGACATTAAAGCAACTTTTTTTTTTAAGGCCTATTCTGAGGCAGATGAAGCGTGGAACTGAAACCATCTGTGAGTCCTGGAGCTTGAACTAAGGGCCTGGACACTGTCCCTGAGCTTTTCTGCTCAAGGCTAGTGTTCTACCACTTCAGCCACAACTCTACTTCCGGTTTTATTGGCCGTTATTTGGCGGTAAGAGTCTTAAGGGCTTTTCCTTCCCAGCCTGGAGTTGAACTGAAATCCTCAGATCTCAGCCTCCTGAATAGTTAGGATTACAGGTGTGAGCCACTAGCACCCAGCTTGAAACCATCTTTAGGGAGTGATTAACCTAATATAGTGACACAGACCTGCAGTCCCAGCTATGCAGGAGGATATCTTGAGTTCAGGAGTTAGAGACCATCCTTGGTGAGATCCCATTCTCCAAAGGAAATGAATTATTGCAATTTAACCTGGCAACCTAGAGGCAAAGTAGTTGTGGTTATCTTAAGAGCTGCCATGTAGATGAAGTATGAAACATCATATAGGCCAGGTGTATAGAGCAGGACATGTACTTCACCTTCTAAAGATCAGCATGATCCCACAATGAGATGACCTGCCTTGTGAGGTAGTGAGCTCCCTGTCAAAGAAGGTGTACAAGCAAGCAATAGATCACTTGGCAGGAGTGTTGTAGAAAGTGGGCTAGACCAAGTTTTTCAGTTTGGTATGGAGACAGTAAGGAGCAGCTTCCACTCCTGACTGCATGCAAGGGGACAGAGCTTAACTGTCTGCAAACTAGAAAAGCAGCCCTGAAATAGATGGGGCAACTTTTAACCCAGTACCAGTTACACAAATTACTTAAGAAACTAACCCAATAATGTCCCATCTCCGAATGGGACTGTTGTAGGTTTAGTAAGGCAGCCGGTGTAGTGGAATATACTAAAGTCCCGATGTGGAGGCTAGGAGACCTGGGTTTTAGTTCTGACTCTGCCCTGTATGGCCTAGAGCGCTGCCTGCCTTTTCCGGGACTCTTCTGCGAAAATGAAGTGAACCAGCCGATCATCCTTTCCATCCTAAAGGGCGCCGCCTTTCTGGCTGGGGCCCCCCACGGCGGATCTAGGGCTCCGATTTGGGACCTTGGGGCTACATTTATGAACCGCCAGAGACCACCTCTGGCGGAAGCATCGCCCACACTCGAGGCAGGGGAAAGGCTTCTCCCCGGTGTGCAGGAGCTGGTGCTGGGCCAGGTGGCTCCACTGGGCGAAGCGCTTGGAGCAAAGGTCACAGGCGTAGGGCCGCTCGCCCGAGTGCACGCGCCGGTGGCTGGCCAGCAGCGAGGGGTAGGCGAAGCGGCGGCCGCAGTCCTCGCAGGCGTGCAGCTTCTCCTCCGTGTGCGTGCTGCGGTGGATGGCGAGCGAGCCGCTCCGGCGGAAGGCACGGCCGCAGTCGGGGCAGGGGTAGGGCTTCTCCCCGGTGTGCAGGAGCTGGTGCTGCAGCAGCGTGCTGCGCTGGGAGAAGCGCGCCTGGCAGTGCTCGCAGGCGTAGGGCCGCTCGCCCGAGTGCACGCGCCGGTGGCTGACCAGGCGCGAGGACGAGGAGAAGCGGCGCTCACAGTCCGGGCACGGGTAGGGCTTCTCGCCGGTGTGGATGCGCTGGTGGATGACCAGGGCCGTGCGCTGGCGGAAGCGGCGGCTGCACTCCGGGCAGGTGTAGGGCTTCTCGCCCGTGTGCGTGCGCTGGTGGATGGCCAACAGGGACGGGTAGGCGAAGCGACGGCCGCAGCTGGGGCACTGGTGCGGCTTCTCGCCCGTGTGCGTGGTCCGGTGATTGGCCAGGGAGCGGCTCCTGCGGAAGCAGCGGCCGCAGTCAGGGCAGTGGTAGGGTTTCTCGCCGGTATGGATGACCTGGTGTTGGGAGAGGTTCTTGCGCTGGGAGAAACGTTTGCCACACTGGTCACAAACGTAGGGACATTCACCGGAGTGAGCCCGCCGGTGGCTGACCAGCAGGGATGGGTAGGAAAAGCGGCGCCCGCAATCGGGGCACGGGTAAGGCTTCTTCAAGTTCTGGGCACACTTGTGGCTCTCCAGGGCGTGGCTATCGGGGAAAGTGCAGCCACAGTCGGGGCAAATGGGACCCCCAGACGTCTGCCTGGGGACTAGTCGAGGTTTGCTGGGCCTCCGCCCTCGTTTCCCCTTCCGGGGTGCCTCCTTAGGTGGTAGTACGTCCTTCTCCCCATTCTTCCTTCTGGTCTCTATAAGGACATGGAGAAAAGTTAGTTTTAACCACTACCAGCCTTCTACTCCTGCCTATGACAATACAGGTTATAAAACCAACACACTCAGTCCCTGTCCTCAAATGTTGGTGTCAGAGACAGCTAAGTGTGAGACACTCTTATGGAAATGAGGAGGGTACTGAGCCAGCTCGGAGGTCAGGGAAGATTTGTAGGAGAGAAACAACATTCTTTGGAGTGTGGATGGAGTTCGTTGTTTATGAAGACATAGTAACAGGAACAGAAGGAAGTCAAAATCCCACCACGCTCCCCATTTACTCTGTAGAAGCCATGCTTAATTCCTTCTGGTTTGTTTGTTTGTTTTGCCAGTCCTGGGACTTTAACTAGGGCCTGGGCACTGTCCCTGAGCTTCTTTTGCTCAAGGCTAGCACTCTACCACTTGAGCCACAGCGCCATTTCCGGCTTTTTCTGCTTATATGGAACTGAGAAATCAAACCCAGGGTTTCATTCATGCTAGTCAGGCACTCTACCACTAAGCCACATTGCCTGCCCTCTTCTAATGTTTTTTACTGTAATACAAATACACTATTCCTACACTTTCTTACAGAAAGACAGCATGTATACCCTTTATAATATTTTACTGCACCTTCATTATTTCCACTTATACACTAAAGATCTTTTTATGTCAGCACATGTACTTATTTTGAAGTTGTAAAAAAAAAAAATCTATGTGTTAGGCAAATGCTCTACTATTGAGTCCCAACTCCACTCCAACTTTTTTTTCTTTTTTTTTTTTCAACAGTGCTGGGGTTTGAACTCAGACCCTTGCCCTATGTGGTCTGCCAGTGAACTAGGCCTGTATCCTTCTCTGCTTTAGTTTGTTTTTGATAGGGTCTCATGCTTTTGCCCACCAGCTTCAGACCAAGATTATCCTATGTCTGCCTCCCAGGTAGCTGTAATTAGAGGCTTGTTCTCTCTCTTTTTTTTTTAAAAAAAAAGTTTATTCTTTTTTTCTTTAATACATAAGTCTCACTATGTAGTCCAGACTGGCCTCAAATTCTGGATCCTCCTGCTTCAGCCTCCTGAATGCTGTAATGCAGTGTGTGTATCCCACTTGCCATAACAGTGTAAGAAAGCCTGAAATGGGCTCTCTCTGGCCCTTGCTTCCAAGATGATGAAAAAAAGAAGGAACAACGGTCGAGCCAAAAAGGGCTGAGGCCATGTGCAGCCTATTAGCTGCACAAACTGCGCCCAATGCATGCTTAAGGACAAGGCCATTAAGAAGTTTTGTCATTCGAAATATAGTAGAGGCCACGGCCGGTAGGGACATTTCCAAAGCGAGTGTCTTCGAAGCTTATGTTCTTCCCAAGCTCTATGTGAAGCTCCATTACTGCGTGAGTTGTGCCATTCACAGCAAGGTGGTCAGGAATGGATCTCGTGAAGCCCAGAAAGATCGAACACCCCCACCTCAATTTAGATCTGTTGGTACTGCTCCACAACCTCCACCAAAACCAATGTAAGGAGCTGGATACTTCCAGACTTCAGAAAACCTGTCTTCTAGGGAAAACAAAAAGAAATAAAATGGAAATTATACTTAAGAAAGAAAGCCAGCCTGAAATAGGGGCTGGGAAGGTGGCTCAATGGTGGAGTGCTTGCCTCACATGCATGAGGCCCTGGGTTCAATTTCTCAGCACCAAATAAACAGAAAAAGCTGGAAATGCAGCTGTGAGTCAAGTGGTAGAGAGCTCGCCTTCAGATGAAGAGCTGAGGGACAAGCGCCCAGACCGAGTTCAAGCCTTAAGACCAATCAAAAAAACAAAGCCTGAAATGGGACAGGCGCCTGTGGCTCACACCTATAATCCTATTCAGGAGGCTGAGATCTGAGGATCATTGCTGAAAGCCAGTTCTAAACAGACAAATCCTTGGGGCTCTTATTCTCCAATTAACTAGCAAAAAGTTGGAACTGGAAGCAGAACTCAAGTGGTGGAGCACTAGCTGAGTGAAAAAGCCAATTGGGAGCAGAAAGCCCTGAGTTCAACCCTTAGTACTGGCACAATAAATACGTAGTGTAAAAATTGTATGTTATTTATGTAGTTATGTACCTATATCATATTGCATAAAATGATTAGATATGAACCTCCGAGATATACCCTTGACATTAGAGAACCTGGCAGAGAAAGTATAGTCCACGGTTCCATTTGCTTCTGTGATGGAAGCCTTGCTTGATTCTGGGTAGAAAGTGTGTCTTCCACTACTTAAGGTCCTGCTGCCATAACCGCAAAAGGGGGCTGAGGCATCCAAGCAGTGTTACCCCATAAGCACCCTTCAACCCAAGCCCAGAAATGGAGAAATTTAGGGTCCCTCAACCAGGACCCAAATTCAAGGAAAGGAGACAGGAGAGGAGGCAATCTTTCCACTTGCTCATTTATACAGTGGGGTACTGCAGATGGTTATTTAAAGACTGATCGAGGAATCTGCATGGTGATCGACCCTACACCACCAGAAACAATATTCTGAAATGAGCAGGATGGGACCAAGGTCTGGCCCTGGCCAGACCGAACTCTGGCCTGAGTTAGAACGTGAGGTCTGCAGACTCTCCAGGGTTGTTTGTTTTGTTTCTTTTTTTTTTCTTTTACCACTCACTTCTCTGGACTGTTACCCCTTTCCGGTACTCCTGTGGATCTAGAGCAGCCGGTTCCCAATTCTCGGTATTTCGCTCCAACCAGGAGATGAGGGATGGCTTGGGACCTGCACACCCTGGGGAAGGAGAACTAGTCAGAGGGCGAGCCTCGAGATCACCAACGACAGGTGCACCTGCCGCGCCCCTGCCCCTCCCCTAACAACCAGATCGCGGCCCGGCCGTTCCCAGCCCTCCTCCACCCCCGCCCCCCGGCTCCTCCGTCCCCCTCGGGCCCGCGGAAGCGGATTGGGCCGGGCCTCACCGAGCGCGCCCAGGAGGCCGTAAGTCTCGCGCATCACGTCCCGGTACAGGGCCCTCTGCGTGGGCCGCAGACACCCCCACTCCTCCGGGGAGAAGTACACGGCCACGTCCGCGAACTTCAAGGCCCTCGGCCTCCTTCCCCTTCTCCGACTAGGCCGGGCCTCTCCTGGCCCCGGTGCGGGGAGCGGAGCCGATGGCGGCGCCATTGGACCCGAGAAGCTGGCCCCACGGCCTGCCCCGTCCCGGCCTCGGCCCTTGGGCGCGGAGGACCCCGAGGTTCAGGAGCCTCGGCCGGACTGGGGCTGAACGTGGCGGGAGAAGCCCGGAGGGAGTCGGAGCCGCCCGCCCGCGGGGCTAACGGAAACCTCTCGTTGTAATTCAGGAAACTCCTAGCCGAACTTGGGGGAAAGGCACCGGAAGATGCCTTCAGGGAAAATGGCGGCGCTGCTACTGCACCGCCTTTGCCTGGAACACGGGCAGCTTCCAGCTATCGATTTTATTGACCAGAGCGCCATGCCGGCTTCCTAACCTCTTTGCCCTAAAGTGCAATGGCGCTGCAAGCGGGCCTCGCGCCCCTTTTCCCCGCCCTTCCTATTGCAACTGTCTATTGGGCAGAAGCTGAGCATCGAGCGTCCTGATTGGTTGATGGCCACAGCGGCCCGTTTGAACGAAGCCAACGGACGCGTAAGGGCAGGAAGCTGGACCGTCAGTGTAGGGAGAGTGCTGCGAGATCAGAAATGAGTTGCGGGGATCTGGGATCGGGGAAGAAACTCTCCCAACTGTTTTCCACGGCTCGCTTGCAGATTTGTAACCGTTTTTAGTGCAAAAGGCCCCGACTCCGCGAGTCCCAAACTCGGCCACTAGAGTGTACCCGCTTAGAAAGGAAATTTAATCAACGCGGCTCACGGCGAGGGAAAAAACGAAGGAGTGATCCCCGTCCCCGTCCCTTCCCCATACCATCTTCTAGAGGCTTACAGAAACTGAAGTTTTGTTTTTGATGCCAATCCAGGGGCTTAAACTGGGGCCTGGGCGCTGTCCCTGGGCAGTTTTGGTCAAGGCTGGAGCTTTACCACTGGAGCCAGAGCGCCACTTATAACATATTAGAGTTTATTGGAGGTAAGAGTCTCAAAGACATTACTGCCTGCGATGGCTTTGAACTACGATCTTAGCCTCTTGAGAGCTAGGATTACAGAAGGGGCCCGGCATCATTTAAGATTTTAAAAAATATATTATTATAAAAAGTGATGTTCATGGGCTGGGAAGGTGGCTCAGTGGTAGAGCGCTCGCCTTGCATGCATGAGGCCCTGGGTTCGCTTCCTCAGCCCCACATAAACAGAAAAAGCCAGAAGTGGCTCTGTGGCTTAAGTGGTAGAGTGCTAGCCTTGACTGGAGGAGCTCTGGGACAGTGCCCAGGCCCCAAGACCGACAAAAGAAAAACAAAAAGTGGTGTACAGAAGGGTTACACTTACATAAGTCAGGTATATTTTAAGTTTTAAAGGGAGGCCAAGGAAGGGTCTGAAGTATACACGGCTGATATAGCAGATAATCTTGGCTAGATCAATGGTCTGATCATCTTTGTTCTGGTTTTGCAGAAATTTTAGGAAAGTTGTTACAGCTGGCATCATTTGAAAGGAGCAATCTGGTTCCAATGAGATGATTGTTCCTGCCCTTGGGTGCCTCATCATTAAGATAATTGGGGGCCTGTTTTGAGAAGCCCCTTCTGCTGGTTTCTATCCCCCTTATGAAGTAATTTATTGGATCAGCCATGTCCTTCCTGGAATCCAAGGCAACTGCGAGAGAAACTTAAGAGGAAAAAATTTAAAAGCACAAATAGAGGCCCAGAGAGGAGCAAAGTAGGGTTAGGCCAGTGATCAAAGTCCTCCTTTGAACTTAGCTCGTCTCTGAAAGAAGGAAGCATTTAAGTTTGGCCAGAATGAGCAGAAATAACCCTAGATTCTTTTTTGTGACTTTCTCACAGGAGCATTTGCTTTGGATGATGGTTACTGTCTATGTTGCCCTTTTGGGAAGAGATTTAACTTTAGCGTTTTCTGAAAGCAAACACCATGCCTGCTAGATTATTAGACTTTGCCAGAGAATCACGCAGACATCCAGGTACAGAGAACAAAGTAAGTTTTATTGCTGGGAAAGGAGTCAGCAAGCCCCTTCTCACAAGGGCAAAGTGAGAATCACCAGCTATTGGCTGAGGTGACTTATATAACCTAGGATGTTTAGAAGGGGCTAAGAGGCGGAGATCTCGACCAGTGTGGACGTGTGGGCCAGGGGGGGTGTCATCATGGCAGACTAGGATTTATGGCTGCTATCCAAGTAGTAGATAAGAGGTCCTGCAGCTGCCTAGACCTGGAGGTCACTCCAAGGAGCTCCTGTTGCCTTATATGGTAGTAGCCTGCCCCAGAGAAGGGTAATCCCAAGGTAGAGGGGGTTGGAGGCTGATTACTGACTTTACTACAGGGCCTAGTGTTGCCTAGGAAGGGAGCATGCTAAGCTAGTGGAGAGGGGAAGGAGTGGACTAAGCTAGGGGAAGGTAGCTCATTTCCCTAACAATGCCTAACAAGGCATTGTTTCATCTCTTTTTTTTTTCTTTTGTAAGTGGGTGATTAACATGGTTTACAGAAATCTCAAAGGGATTTTGTGAGTTTCCAGAATCATATAATACTAGTTAGGAGGAAGAACAAAAATCTAAACATGAAAGCAACAAGCCTTTATTATTTTTTTACCATTGTACAAAGCATCCATCCTTTGTACTATCTTGACTTGCTAATTAACTAAGAAAACCCCTGAGCCTTTGATGTCTTTTTTTTTCCTTTCTTTTTGGTCAGTCATGGGGCCTGAACTCTAGGCCTGGGCGCTGTCCCTCAGCTCTTCAGCTCAAGGCTAGTGCTCTACCATGTGAGCCACAGTGCTATTTCCAGCTTTTTCTGCTTATGTGGTGCTGAGGAATCGAACCTAGGGTCTTATGCATGCAAGGCAAGCACCCTACCACTGAGCCACCTTCCCAGCCCTCTTTGGTCTCTTCTTATGTTCAGTTTTCTGGATGAGTGAAAATCTTTTGATTTGGGTGAGAGAAGGGGGGGAAATCTTTCTAATCCCCTGCCTATGGCTCCTGCCTAAAATCCCAGCTACTCAGGAGGCTGAGATTTCAGATCATGATACAAAGCCATGTGGGGGAAAAAAAATGAAGCTATGACTAAAGCTAAGGGATAGCATCCAGGCTCTGCATTCAAGCCCAAAGTACCTGTGTGCACAAGCATGCACAAACACACACACACACACAAATTTGAGGCCAAGCATATCAAGCAGTTTCTAACTTCTGCCCACTCTCTTTTTCCTTAAACTGTGCTGACCTCTACTGGGTCCTGAATAATCCTTTCACCTCTCTGCCTGTGAGGATCCATCCAGATGCTGAACCTAGTGCTTGTCCTTAGCACTAAACCACTGACTCTTAACAGTGGGTCGTGCTGCCCCCTAGAGGTTATTTTGTGAATTAACAAAAGCAGGCATTTTTGATCAAGGCATAGAGGGATGTATATTGTATTCATGCAAGAACCCAGGGATATTAGTTTTCCAATACAATGACAGTCTTTCTAGCTGAATATAAAATTGTCCTAGCAGGGCGCCGGTGGCTCATGCCTGTAATCCTAGCTACTCAGGAAGCTGAGATCTGAGGATCATGGTTCAAAACCAGCCTGGGCAGGAAAGTCTGTGAGACTCTTATCTCCAATAAACCACTAGAAAACTGGAAGTGGCATTGTAGCTCAAGCAGTAGAGGGCTCGCCTTGAGCTGAAGAGCTGAGGGACAGCAGGCCCAGAGTTCAAGCCCCACAACTGACAAAAAAAAGTCCTCCTCCAGCTGGGAATGGGGCTTAGTGGTAGAGTGCTTGCCAAGCATGCATGAAGCCTGGGTTTGATTCCTCAGTTCCACATAAACAGAAAAAGCCAGAAATGGTACTGTGACTGAAGTGGTAGAAGGCTAGCAAAAAAAGAAGCAAAGAGAAAGTACCCAGGCCTTGAGGTCAAGCTCCAGGACTGGAAAAACAAAACAAAAAAATGTCATCCTCTTATCATTTTCAGAACACCTATGGAGATTTTTGTAGGTGAGAGAAAGTTTATAATAAAACCTTAATTTATTTTTAATATTTCATTTTAAAACATATGGCCAGGTGCCAGTGGCTCAGTCCTGTAGTCCTAAGTACTCATGAGGCTGAGATCTGAGGATCGCAGTTCAAAGCCAGCCTGGACAAGAAAGTGTATGAGACTCTTAACTCCAATTAACCACCAAGAAGCAGAGCTGTGGTTCAAAGTGCTAGAGTGCTAGCCTTGAGCACAAAAACTCAGGGATAGCACCCAGACCTTGAGTTCAAGCTCAGGACTGGCACATACACACACAAATATATATATACATACAAGGACTAAATTTCCAATGCCAACTGTATTTGAGACACAAACACACTAATCAGTTTCCTAAAAGTGTTATTTGAAATACCTAGAAAACTCATTGTAGTGCGTTTGTTTCCATCTAAACATGAACACATTCCTTCCCCCACACACACCTTGGTAGTAGGGCTTTAATTTGGCCCAGGCATGTCCCTGAGCTTTTTTGCTCAAGGTTGGAGCTCAGCCACTTGAACCCACAGCTCCACTTCTGGATTTTTAGGTCTGGTCGTAGGGCCTGAACTCTGGCTTGGGCGCTGTCCCTCAGCTCTTCAGCTCAAGGCTAGCGTTCTACCAATTATGAGCCACATTGCCACTTCTGGCTTTTTTTTTTTTTTCCTGCTTATGTGGTGCTGAGGAATTGAACTCAGGGCCTCATGCATGCAAGGCAAGCACTCTATCACTGAGCCACCTTCCCAGCCCCACTTCTGGATTTTTGATGGTTAATTGGAACTAAGAGTCTTACAGACAGCAGGGTGCTAGTGCCTCATGACTGTAATCCTTGCTACTCAGGAGGCTGAGATCTGAGGATCACAGTTCAAAGCCAGCCTGGGCAGGAAAGTCTGAGAAACTCTTATCTCCAATAAACCACCAGAAAAACAAATGGTGCTGTAGCTCAAGTGGTAGAGCACTTGCCTTGAGCTGAAGAGCTGAGGGACAGCGCGCAAGCCCACAGTTCACGCCCCATGACCACCACCACGAAAAACAAAGTCTTACAGGCTTTCTTGTCCAGGCTGGCTTTGAACTGGGATCCTTAGCTCTCTGCCTCCTGAATAATTAGGATTATAGA